CCATCAAACAACATCTGTCTATCCCAGGTCCTTGAGAAGGACTTTATAGGTAGATAAAAATTGCCAAATCCAGTGTACACATCTAGCTGATTATGCCTAACCATAATACAGTTAGTCCTTAACTTACGACTACACTTGAGCCTAAAATGTATGTGGCTAAGTGAGAAATTTGTAAAGTGAGTTTTGCCCCATTTTACAACCTTTTTTGCCACATTTGTTAAGTGAATCACTGCAATTGTTAAATTAGTAGCACGGTTATTAAGTGGTTTCCCCACTGACTTTGCTTGTCAAATGGTCTCAAGCAGGGGTGGGATTCTACCAGTTTGCACCTATTTGCTAGAACCGGTTGTTAACATTCTAAGCAGTTTGGAGAACCGGTTGTTAGAAGAAATTACTGGCCTAATCCTGTAAGGAAGGCAGGAAAGAAACATTCTGGTGTTGCTTACAGAAACTGCCTCTCCATTAACCCTTTTTACATTCTTGGCAGGACTAGACTTCCTGTCTTAGGAACGTCTCTGGAGTTTCCCCCCCCTCCTTTGCTGGTACTTTGCTTGTGTGGAGTGACCATTCAAAGTTACAATGGCACTGAAAAAAGTGACTTATGACCATTTTTCACATTTACGACTGTTGCAGCATCCCCACAGTCACAAGAGGCCAGGTGAAGAGATGCGTGCCTCGATGTGAGTGATATTGAGTTGGCCACGCCCAGCCAATAACATGGCCACCAAGCCACGTCCACCCAGTCACATGACCACCAAGCCACACCCACCAACTAAGCCATGCCCACAGAACCGGTTGTTAAAAAATTTGAATCCCACCCCTGGTCTCAAGAGGGGATCACAGGACCCAGGACATTGCATCAGTCATAAATATGAATCAGTTGTCAAGCATCTGAATGGGGATGCTGCAACAGTCATAAACAGTCACAAATGTTTTTTCAGTGCCATTGTAACTTCAAATGGTCATTAAGCGAACTGTTGTAAGTTGATATAGGTCATCCAACTCCACTATCTGGGTGGTTTACAAATTGTCAAAAACATTTAAAACTAGGAATAAAACAAAGAAAAAGAAAAAAAACCGCACAAAAAAATTCCCAACACAAAATAAAGGAGCACGGATGGCAGGGAAAACAAACACGGATGGGAACAAAGGAAGAAAAAAAAGGGGAATGGAGCATCACGTCAATTATTCTCATCAAAGGTCTGGGTGAACAGCCATGTCTTCAGGGCCCTTTGAAATACTAGTAAGGTGAGGGCCATTTGAATCTAAGGGGGAACCTCAGAGGGCAGGAGTTCCATATCTTTGGACTCAACCATGGCATGCAGATAAAGTGCATGAATTAATTTTTAAAAATGACTTAAAAAATAGATGTGCTATGTGTCCATGAAACTAAAGGAAAGGATGGTCATAGTACACCTGAATGAAAATGCGCTGATCTTATGTAGCATGACTACATGTACCGAAGTGAAATATAGATTTAATTATAAATTAAAGAGCTAAAATTAATGTCAGAAAGTATGAATGTTACATGGGCTGCTGTGCATCTGTATGAAGATCAGCAATAGCTACACATTATGCTCCAGTGAATAATGATAACAGAAGAATGAGATATTTCTGGGGGAGTGAGGGGGGGGGGAAGAAAGGTGAAATTGTTCAATGTTCTGGAGGAATATAATCTAGAGAAAATTATTCTGCTAGGTGATACTAATAGATGAGTGGGAATAAGGCACAAAAGAGTACAGCTAAGATGACTGGATGATTTATAGACTCAAAAACATGCAATAGCAATAGCACTTAGACTTATATACCACTTTGTAGTGTTTTAAAGCCCTCTCTAAGTGGTTTACAGAGTCAGCATATTGTCCCCAACAATCTGGGTCCTCATTTTACCCACCTTGGAAGGATGGAAGGCTGAGTCAACCTTGAGCCTGGTGAGATTTGAACTGCCAAATTGTAGGCATCTGGCTGCAGCAGAGCTGCATTCTAATCATTGCGCCACAGAGGCTCCTTATAATGATGACTGACAAGGATCTAAAAAAGTCTGATGATTTTGAATATATGGTTTAAATATAAGCCTATTTATACTTAACATATGTAGAATGTATATGCTACTAAAACTCTTGTGTCTGATTGTAACCTTCAATCGGTGCACTATAGGGCAACAAGTTTTGAATCAACGTATTTCAAATGTCAAGCACCTGGAAACTCAGGAGATAGCAATAGCACTTAGACTTATATAGTGCTTTACAGTGCTTTACAGCCCTCTCTAAGAGGTTTACAGAGTCAACAATTTGGGTCCTCGTTTTACCCACCTCGGAAGGATGGAAGGCTGAGTCAACCTTGAGCCTGGTGAGATTTGAACTGCCAAATTGCAGGCAGCCGGTAGGCAGCAGAAATAGCCTGCAATACTGGACTCTAACTACTGTGCCCCCATGGGTCATAAGATCCAGGCAGTTCAAATGTGTATAAAAATTTATTGCAACTTTAAGCTTGCAAACTTAAGCTCTTTACAAGAATCTGAACTACTAAGGGCCCAAGCAAATTAGTGGTAGATAAAAGTCACTGGAATTCAAGGTGGGCTGGACTTAGATCTCTTGTGGGTGTGAAAAGATTGATGACTGATGATATGTTTGTCCCCTCCCTCAAGCTCAGCTTGGTTACCTCCTACATCAAATGAGAGTCCAAAATCCATGGGATTGAAATTTGGTAAAGCTGTGGTTGTTTCAGGGCTGCTGTGGCCAGGCACAGTCATACGATTGCAATTTCCAACACTCCCTGCCAGCTTTCTACAAGGAAAATCATTGAGGAAATGGCAATAGCACTTAGGCTTACACACTGCTTCACAGTGCTTTCACAGCCCTCTCTAAGCAGTTTACAGCAGGAGTGTCCAACCTTGGCAACTTTAAGACTTGTGGACTTCAACTCCCAGAATTCCTCAGCCAGCTTTGCTGGCTGAGGAATTCTGGGAATTGAAGTCAAAGTTGCCAAGGTTGGACACCCCTGGTTTACAGATTCAGCATATTACCCTCAACAATTTGGGTCCTCATTTTACCAACCTCAGAAAGATGGGCAGGAAATGGACGTTGGAAGAAATGGGCAGGAAGTCAGAAGTTGCTCCTACTCTCAACTGCATTTTTGCATGCCCATGGTCATTCTGTTTCTCTGATTAGCTAAGGAAATATTTCTGAAACAATAATCCAATGGTAGTATAAATCTCAAAGCATTATTGGTTGTATTTTTTAATTAAGAGAATTAGTGGATGAATTCAAGAATCCTGAGGGTTATAATGATGAAAGAGACTATTAGTTAATATCAAAAGTGGGTAATAGAGGGTAACAGACATGAAATAAAAGAAACTGAATGAAAGAAAATAGAATGAAAATAGAACTGCAGGATGAGGAAGTACCAATTCTGTATCAAAAAAGTAACTGAAGCTAAACTAATTTTCCAACAGAATAAATAGAATATAGACATCGGATTATAGGAGTTACTTGGAACAGAGAGAAAAACATTACACTACTAAGTGGCACAGAAAAATGTGTGTGTGTGTGTGTGTGTATGAAATTTTCTATATCCATTTACATGGGGTGGGGGGAGGGAGGGAGAGAGGGAGGGAGAGAGAAAGAGAGAGAAAATTAATGTACCAAAGATTAGTTTGGCATAACCCAGAAAATGGAAATAGATTGAAGGCTATATATAAATGGGGATAATTTAGACCAAATAGAAGAAATGTGATAAAATGTTTTCTAAAGATGAGGAAATTGATGGAGAAAATCTAAGATGTGCCAAAGATAGAAAGGTAGTGGGCAGCACATAGTTTGTTGTGAGGAATGAGTACTGCCTGCACATAATAATAAATAGCAGAATAAATGGCTATGCATAAGAGCATGCTTCTGCCCACACTAATACATACACATGAAATGGGAATGGCTAGAAGTAATTTGAATGCAATGGTGTGTGGGCAGTAAAACAAGAAGCAATAGGCTCAAGAATGAATGGGAGCTGAACATATGTGGACTGAATACAGGTGAGTGACCAGTATGAAAAAAGTATACTGAGATGATTTAGTTATATAGAAAGCATAGAACTGCAAAACAGATACATGAAGGAAGTGTTAATGGACTGAGAAGAAGGAGAAGATCAAGCAGTGGTGGCTGGATGGGGCTGATGAAATGGTAAAAAAGAAAATAGAAATTTAAAGAACATAATGCAATGTATGCAGCCATGGATGGATGTGATAAAAGCAAGGCTGGCTTATAAAGATAAAAGAGTACAGAGAGGCACAGTGGAGAGTACTGGTGTTAAACTAGATTTAGCTACACATCCTTTTTTTAATTATCTCATTATTTAATTTCTTCTGCTTACAGTTTTTACTGCTTTTTTGCACTTTACATAATACTGCTAGCTTGAAAGTGAACAGCTTGGGGAGTGAATATCCATATGGATAGGTAGGTGCACACCTGAAATGTGCTTCTACTACTTCAGTAGAAGTTACTTTCTCGTTGCTTAAGGGTAGTGTGCATATAAGTATGTCTGTCATCTGTTTCACTAGTTCAGTAGTCGGCAACCCGCAGCTCTGGAGCCGCATGAGGCTCTTTCATCCCTCTGTTCCGGCTCCCTGTCACAAGTCAACACCTCAATTTTGAGAGAAGCTTCTGGTTAGAGAGGGGAAAAGCACGGCATGCCAGGAGGAAATTCTATGGCAAGGGATGGATTTTCTGGTCAGCTGAACAATTGATAGGACTTTCAGTTAGGACAGGTAGAGAAAAAAGGATGCTGTGCTAGGAGGAGACTCTATGGTGGGGGAAGCGGACTTCCGGACGGCTCCAGAATTGAATGGGGGGCTTCCAGTTAGGACCTTTGCAGCTCCCGGTGTTTCTTTTCTGTGGGAAATGGGTCCAAATGTCTCTTTGAGTGTTTAAGGTTGCCGACCCCTGCATCAGTCGCTTTCAAAATTATTACAAAGTCAGATTCCAGAAATGCATAGCAAGAATACTCACTGCACATTGATTCAGATTCATCTGATCCATCTGAACATTCCTCTTCCCCATCGCACTTCCATCTGGATGGGATGCAGTGGCCATTGTTGCAGGTAAAATCAGACTCTGCACAAGTCTTCTTGGCTGAAAGGAGAGAGAGAGGGTTTTTTTTTAAGGAAAAAGAATAGTTCAATTGGATAATAAATCATTCTTTGATATTAGATGCACAGCAATTAATCAAAAACACTTCTTACACCTCAAGAACTGTATAATTCATCCATCCTAGATCATAAGGAATCAATGCCTTCACTGAGGGAACTTAAGAGTCCAAACAGCTTTGTGAATAGGAGAATGAAAAAGAAAAGAAGCCCTTAACCTCTTCCAATATATTATCTATGGATATTGTTATGAGTAAACTATGTTTTTGGAAAGCAGTGAAGGGAATAAGATTGCATTTCTTTATGTTTGGCTGCCTTGTTCCCTCAATCACAACTGCAGTACAGCTGAAGCTCTGCTAAAGCAATACTTCTTGGTTTTCTTGTGTTTCTATCAGGCACAAGAACCAGGAGCCAGGATAGGGTTCAAAAGTACTACACGTTTATTTCATGCTGTCGGGCTCCAAGTTCACTCAGAGCCCGTCAGCTCCGAATATGCCTCGCAGTAAATCAGCTGGCCATGTCACCTTATCTCTGCTGCTGCTGGATCTGTATTTCTGCTTGTGTGCTAGCCGATGGCTTTGGAATGACTCAGCAGAGCTGAGGATGGATTCTGAAGCAACTGCGGGGCTGCTGGAAATGGCTCTTTTCATGTATTGATGTGGTGCCTATTGTTAAAGGGGGTTGGGGTACATATAGATGGTAATTAAGCCTTAGGTAAAAACATGGTGAAGGTGGCACCAGGTGGGGATCAGTTAATGAGGGTTGGAATAGGGTAGGGATGTAGATATGTTATAGGGTTAATAGCATTTAGGGATAATGAGTTAGGTGTGGCCAAAATTAGAACTGCGTATAAGCCTGGGTGTGGTGGGGTATGTCTCATGATAATGGTAATAAAAGGAAAGGGAGCAAATTCAAACCCAACTCTAACCTTGCCTGGCTTTTAGCCTTTCTTGTCAGAGAAGAATATTTGTTGTTTGCTGAGCTAATGAATAAACCACCATTGCTCGACAAAGGAGCTGGAGTTTGTATTCATTTCAGGACAAATCTTCAATATTCAAGGACTGGCTGAGACATGCTACCTATACACAAGAATCTGAACAACTAATGGTCAAGGCAAATTGGTGCCAGATAAGAATCAACAGAATTTACAGGAGGTGGGACTTAGCTCTCTTATGGAAACATGGGGATTCCAAACTGATGGTGTGTTTGACTCTGCCCTCGGGCTCAGCCTGATCATCTAGTTTCACTACCATTTTCCACCCCCATTTTAGTATTTAATTACTATGGTCCTCATAGTTTAAGGATTGATATTATATTACAGTTGGGGCATGGTGTCTTTTGCTCATGTGCAACTGATAGATTGGATGACAAATTGTGATTTTAATATAGATTTTATCTGTTATTTATTATTATATTCTAGAATTTTTAACAGGATATTCCTTGAGTGTTTTTAAATTGCACTGGTCTCTGGTCTTTGACTATAATAAACATTGACTTGATTTCCACCCCCAAATCACCAAACTGGAGGATTCCAGTAGCTTTGGAGGGCATCAGATCAAGGAGAATTATTTTCAGAGATACTTCAAATAGTTCATAAAATTAAAATAGAACCGAGTTTCATATTGCTTAGGTTGATAGGTTTCAACTAGGAAGTATGATAAAATGAGGGCTGTGAGAAGGAACCAACAAATCCATAACAACTCACAGGGTTTAAAAGTAGTACAAATATAGTGCACAGATTTACTCAGTTGGAATCAGTTTAAAACATTAGTTTAAAAATAGCTAAAGATAAAAATTAAACATTTCCAACTAATGAGGTGATCTTATATGTCTAACCAAAGCCCATTCTCTAGAGACAAGAAAAGCAGCATTAAAAGATAAGAGGGCCAAATTTTAAACACAGTATCCTATTAATGAACACTGAAAAAACAAACCACCTGATAAAACTATCATTTTTTATCATAAAATGTACAGTTTCCTTATTATGACATCCTAGGAAATGTTAGGCTTTCTTCAAACAGTATTGTAAGTACAGACAAGCATACCATGAGCAATGGAGTGTATTGTTTCCTGTGCACAAATCACATGAATTATGAATTATCAACAGCAGGTAGTTATCATCCTAGTGGCCCAACTGATGGTTATGTACTAAGGCAGAAAAAATATTGAAGCAGCCTCCAGATTTATGTTCTTATTTTTAAAACTTTTGCTTGACAACCTCAACCTTTTCTATTGATTTATTAGCTAATTTCATTTCAAGTAAGTAGGATTTTGCCATGTAAAAGCATATCACGGATCTTGTGCTCTATGGAGTTATTATTCTGAAATCAAATCAGACAGTCAAGTATTATGTGCACTTCAAATGGGAGAATGAAACATCTTGTCCTCCAGATGTTTTAGATAACCAATCCCACACTCCTTTGCCAAGGGTCGTGCTAGCTGCAGCTAGGAGTGTTTGAAATTAGAATTTCTGGAGCAATGACTCTGATTAGCTAAGAAGGTTGAAATAATAACACAATAATTTCAATCAGTACTCTTATTTTAAATGAAAAACAGATAGACAGATAGATAGCAGATAGATAGGTTTTTCATTTAAAATAGAGTACCGATTAAAATTCTTGTGTTATTATATATATAGACAACTTAGTGCCAGTAGATTTTTCTCACATTCTTTCCAAATAATGGAAAGGACACCTGTCTCTTTGTGAAGGTGGAGGGCACTGCATATGTGGGTTGTTTTAAAAACAACTATGGCCTTCTTAAAACTGGAGACATTAGCCTGCCTATATCAGACAGAGAGTATTATTATGGATTATGGATCTTCAAATGCTACCTTGATTTAGTTTCAGAATATATGGAGGAAATATAGGTTGCTTCCTGCTTTTCTTCATGAAGGGCAGGGATGGGCAATTAATTTTCCCAAGGGGCCAGTCAATGAGACTGTTATGTAGGGTTGAACCAATGTAACCTGATGTCCTCAAACTCCGTTATCTCAATTCATCAAGCTGCTGCAGGCCACAGGTGAGCACTTTCTCTTCTCATCTTCCCACGGCTGCCAGTTGACTGAAGGAGCACATGGTGACTGTGCATAGCCAGACCCAACTTGGCTTCTTCTCCTCTCCCCTGCAGTACATTTATTTACAGCTGATTTCAAATTTCTGATTGACCTCACGGGAGTGGGACAGGGACAGCCAAAGTATCAGATGTGGTTTTGGGAGCCATAAAATGCCCAGTTCTGATCTAGGGATTAGCCTTGAAACTGGAGCAATATGAGCTATTCACATGTCAGCCATTTGATTTGTTTTCAAATGAATTCTGTTTTCAGGAGAATAGTAGCTACTATGGTCAATAAGTAGTTACTATGGTAAATTTCTCAAATATTTCCAAACATTGTTATTATAAATATATATTGCGTTGTATAATTTTGTCCGCTGAGCTAGATAATAGAAAATTTCAGCATGAATGGAAAATAATGAGGAAAATAAAAGCAGGTATCCATATTCTCTCCATAAGACTATTATGATTTTATCCTCTACAGGTTATATTTTCGTATTATGACATTACATTGATTTAATGTTTTTCAAAGAAACTTGTAATAATTTTAATATGCAAATTGTATACTAACATTGTTCTCTTATGGTTCCTACATTTAGCCTCAAAATGGTTCCTTCAGGACAGATTGAAACTATTTATTATAATAAAAGCATTATAATTTAATAGCCTTCATAAAAGGCATGGCCAGAAATTTTTACCATTTTCATCTGCATTTTTTCCCCCTGCACCATTCCTCCCAAAATGCTTCAATATGCTTACTCCTGATTTGGTAATGCCCCAGCCTTGGCATGACAAAACCATTTTCCCCACTGATCTACCAGTAATACCCTAGCTGTTGTTATCTTTGAAGAAAAGGGCTGCTGGCAGCACTGGGGTCTGCCAACGATCCTGAATAATGGAGATGCAAAACTCCCACCACCGCACAGACATGCTGGTAGCAGATGGTGCTATGGATTGCTTTGTTCCCTTGACAGCGTTCTTTGAAAACACAATTAATTTATTATCAGGCATCACAAAAGGTGGAAAGACATACAATACTAGCAAAGAACCATCCAATGGCATTTTGAAGGTGTTAATATGCTTAGTTTGCATCCTCACAATCAAATAGCCTGTAAGGTCTTCCTTGCAATGCCCAACATCTGCTGATAAACTATAAGGATAATGTGGATGGTAAGTAAATCGGCTCAGGAGAGCCAACAGTTTAAGCCAGATTGAATGGGGCAAAAAGAAAACAGTTCAGTTTTTCAACTCAATGGAAGCCGCCTGAGTATCTTTCAATGGACACTACTGAGAGACAGAAAAATCCAAGTGGTGATTGATTTTGCTGCATGAATTCAGGGATCTTGAAATATAGTACTCCCAACAGTACAAATCCCTCAATTCTCAATTCGAACAAGCATATGTAAATAAACACTACTGAGCACAATTAACCTAAAGTACTTAATGCCAACAATTTAATCTGCCCCGGTTGCTAAAAGCAATACTTTTCTAGGGAAGAAGTAGACCTATGGCAAGGCAGTACCATAGCCCACTTCTCTCTTTATGATATTAATTATTTATCATTTGTAAAACGCTCATTTATGTACATTTAATTCAATTATCTTACTCATTCCATCCTAAACTTGCAAGGTGCGTTGCTGCAATCTCTCTTTAAGAAGCAGAAATTGAGACCCAATCAGTATATTTTGACCGCATTTATTTCCGGCTACTGCCATAATTTGAGGCTTTCAGCCAGCCTGCAAGAAAACAATACCAAGGAGGCAGGAATGCTCAACCAATCTTTCTTTCCAGAACTGTTCCTGAGCATAAAAGAGATAAGTCTTTGAAGCACTGCCTCTTTTGAAGAATGCATTTCAGTGTCCTTCTGGTCCATACTTGCCTACTCAAAAATACTTTAAATCAGCAATAATTCACATCTATATCAAATGATAT